TTTAAATAAAACACTTAATATATATATTTTTTTGATAATTATTTTAACTTCAGTCCGACGTTTCGGATTGCAGTAGCCGTGGTCACGGGCAGACTGGGCCGTAGTTGAAATAATTATAACTAATATATATCGCATTTTAAACCGTTAAAGCATTTTATTTATATGTGCACTACTCGCGTAAACTACAAACAGTATTTGACAACTACTTTTGATTCTTAAAATTTTTGAAAATGAAAATTATCATGATTTCTTAAAATACTATTTTTCTGAACATTATTATAATATAAGCTGCTGACGTACGGAACCCCATATATATCTGTAAAGAAATATGTATAGCATTATATGAGCGTTGTTCCTAATGCCCCATCCCTATATTCTCATTCATACTTCAGTCTTTACCTCCAGTCGGTTTTGTGACCGCGCGAGTGATGCCCGCGTGTCAATTGTCACACATTTTGGCGCGTTTTTTAATTTTTAATCTGTGACGTTTTAATGATGTAGTTGGATGCAGTGAAAGTGAATTTTAATTATCTGTTTTTAATTAAGCTTATTCTATTATTAGATGCATAAATTTATTATCTTAATTTATTTGCATAAAGTTCGCTTTGAATAATTTCCTCTTATTAACAATGTAAATTTTAGGTCTCGGAGGAACGTTATATTTTTAGAAAATGGAATGATAATGATAATTATGTTTTACAAATTGCGAAGTTTTAACAATATAAGAAACTTATTATTTCGAAAATTAAATTATTGTAATGAAAGATTTTTTAGATTATCTTTTTACCTCAAGTTGCATTAAACAGTGTAAACGGATCTTCTGTAGATAGACTAGTGTTATTACAAACCATAATGTTTTTACGAATCTGTTATTCAATTCTATAGCAACAGAACAATGCCATGGATTGTAAATAACATTTTATTGACCAGTCATGGCAGGAAAAATGATAAATTGTTCAATTATCTTGAACAGGCGTGCACAATATGATGAAACTACAGATAACAGATAGCGAATATTAATTTCATATTCTACATTATTTTATCGCTTATCTTCTTTTGCTATTTTGCTTCTTTATGCTACTTTTAATATAGATACAATGGTCATTACATTGCATTGCATAAAAATATCCTCTCTTCAAATAAAACACTTTAACGGTTTCAAACGCGATATATTAGTTAAACTTTTTAAAATCGTTTCTTTAATTTTAGTCATATTCTACCGTAAACGAATTATATTTATAATCACAAACGAAACTTTTTGTTTTGAAAATAATCTTTATTGAGTAGACGTAGACTTGTAGTCCTTACGGTTATTAGATTTTATATAAATTACAAAAGTATTGCGTACCACGTATTAAGCACTTACTATTACCCTTATTTGTACACTGTCTAAAAGGGGATATATTTATAAAATCGGTATATTATTAATTTTAGAGTTGGTTGCTTTAGAAGGTGACCCTTGTGCCTCACCTACATTGCAAAGTAGGTCGGACTTCTGAAAAAACAATGCTTTTTAGCTATCAAAATTTATAACAGCTTATAAGAGCTGTCAAAAATAGGATTGGTGATAGTCGCCATTCTTTAAGGTAGCGGAAGCCAGGAAAACATCTCGTTCAGTTGATGGGAGGTGACGTGCCCAGCCATATAACATTTAGTTTAATGCGCTGTTGTCCTATTTCAGCTTTCAACATTCATTTTATGTGTGACTTTTGTAATGTTCATTGTTAAATAAAAGTTTTTTTACTCATTGTAACGTTGAAAAAATGTTGAGATCCATAAAATGTGCATAATATCCATAATTCCCAATTAGATGTTTAAACAACATTTTAATTATAATATATTTAGGAAAAACAAAGCGGAAACGAGCAAACTTTAATACCCCGTTGGTATTAAAATAGCTTTAATTTGCGTTGCAAATGCAAGCACGAGATTCACAACTTCAAGACGATTATAAATTCATTCTTGAATTTTGACTTAAATTTAGCTACATTATGTCGTCGCTGGAATATTGTTCGGTAATGATGAGATATTTTTGGAGGTCACAGGATATGCTGTGTGCATAGATAAAAAATGTCAAAGGGTGTATGTACTAAAACCACAGGAGAAATACATATTTATTGTACATATTTTTTCTATGTATGAAGCAATAATTTTAAAAACTTACTTATTTAATGCCTACCTTTAGCTCACGTATGCAATCCGATTAAAAAGAAATAACGGATTGTTTGACTCGTTTATTTTTTAATAAAAATGCGATATTATAGGGACTATATAGCATTTTACTACGCGAGTAGTATACATTTACAGAATACACTTTTTGAGAACGAGACAACGGTTTGAGGCGCGAAATTTTGCATTGTCATGAGGTCACGGGGGTCAAAGCAAATTATAAATAATTTATGTTATATATGTCGTTAATTAAATGTTTTAATTTAATTATGTCTTGTAGTCAAGAATTTGGTATGTTATTATTTTTGTGTCACAAATGATGTCGATAACAATGAATATTTCAACTAGGTACTCGTGGTTATAGGGCAAACATTTTCAGTCCATTTCGCCAGGTAATTGATTAGACTTCTGTGCCCTGTCCGACCTAAGCACTTTAATTTTCCCCTAAATTTTGACAAGCCACTTCAATGGTAGCCATGTAGGCTTTATCAACGGGTTGTAGGTTCAATTTCCACCGGATTCAACACGTGTCCATCGAACTTTAATTCGTGTAGCGAACCGTCCACAGATAAAAAAGCCGTGAAGTTTAATTGCGTTTTGGTTTCAGTCTGTTGATTTCCAAATATCCAAAGCTAAAATATGTCGACGCGCATCTTGCCTAGATGTCATATGGCTAAGGGACCTTCCAAGTTTTACTGTTTTACTCTATCATAAACGAAAGTTTTGTATCCAGGACCTCTCATGCTTACATGCCTACGAAAGCAATCTAATTAATTTTATTTATGAGAAGCTAATAGTAATCTTTACTTGTCTCATAATACCTTAGCTTATTCCAAACAGCTTAAAAAATTTAAACATCAATTAACTTTATGGAACAATGTCTGGTATTACGAACAAAACACGCGATCGCTTTAAAAATACAAAGGTTCAGCGGTAAACCTTTGTTTAGGTGAACGTAAAGAGGGCCTCAAGGGCTTTGACCGCACTCGTGTATCATCAGCCTTACTTTGCAGAGATCTAGACGTTTCCAGAAGTTCTATAATATACATGTACATGTATTTTAGTACGTAGTTGCATCTTTGTAAGTAGTCTAACGTAGGTCTACGGGATTCTGCCACATCAACCATTTTGTGACTGTTGAGATTAAATAACTTTTAGCAGTTTAAAACTCAAAACTTATTTTAATAAGTTATTTATAATTTAATTTACCGGGCCAACGTTTCGGATGATTTGCAGAAGTCATGATCATGCAGACAATTAAAAATAAATGAACAATATATGTAACGTTTTAAAACGTTAAGTGCTTTATTTAAAGTGCTTTGTGTTAATATTCGCGTAAACTACTGACAATGCTACATATTCACGAGTCCGATTATCTGATTGATATTCGACAAACACCGATCCTTAATAAAATTATTCATCATGATTAATAAAAAATATAAAGCTTACGCGAGTAGTACACATTTTAATAAAACACTTTAACGGTTTAAAACGCGATATCTCCCCGTGACCACGGCTGCTGCAAAGCAACCGAAACGTCGGGCTGAAGTCAAAAATCATTTTCAAATAAGTTTAACTAATATATCGCGTTTTAAACCATTCAAGTGTTTTATTTAAAAATATACACTTTTACTAAAAACCTGATATATTATCTATATATAGAGGAGAGGTACCTTCCTCTGACCTGACCTCTTACTACAATGAGAGGAAAGAGAAAAAGAATAGAAAGAGAAAATCTACTTCTTATACAGAAGATGTATGTCACGATTTATTTATCGCTTCATAAAAACAAACTATCCAAACAACTTGTTGTATACCCTTGACCACTTTGGCAGTCTGCCAAATCAATTTCGTACAGGATCAGTTAGCTGAAGGCTTTATTCACTTGACAGATGTAAATAATGTTGTATATCGGTTGTGATTCTCCTTAATTCAATTGTTACTTACTAGAACTCGTAATTTTCCTCAATCATTACAGAAAATTTCCAAAACAGTAGACTTAATACAAATATGATATAGGCAGTGCAAAATGAATTTTATTTCCCTATATTAAGAGCCTTATTCTCGTTTTAAATCCATGGGTTTTACTTCAAAATTATAATTTGGTTTTTGTTCCTATATAATTAGGATAATATATTGAACCGTAATGAGAAATAGTACATATTATATAACACTCCTTTTGTTCTGCTATCGAAAGGCTGTACCCGTTAGTCTTTAGATTACATCATTTTCCGGAAGTCGGGAGCGCTGAATCGATACTGGCAGCCGAGGAAAGCGTTGGGTGTTCCCGTTTGAAATAGTGTTCCAAATTCAAATTATATGCCAGGGACAAAGCAAATAGAATTGAATTAATGTCTGCTTCTAGAATTTTATAGAATGGAACAAAACATGGCTTTAAGACGTTTTTGCAAATATTTCTTTATAAAGGTACAATAAGAGAATATGTATCAAGGTCTTGGTAAATATCCAAAAGCTATCTCAAGTTACGCTTTGTGTATTTTTACGTTTTTGTTTTTGTTATATATATAGTTATAAATAAATAACATGTAGGACTCAGTAGCTCAATTGGTTCACACAACGTGTATCGGTCAAGGCTCGTGTCGTGTCGTAAAATTGTTTCTATGTAAAATCGATTTTTAATTTATATAGTGCCATCATTTTCAATAATATGAGAAAAACTTTAAAGTTTCATTAATTAAAGGATGAAAACCCATTACACGACCATAAATTCATGTAGAATGTGAAACAGTATACTAAAAACCATAGACAATAAATAAATGTGTTCAAAATGGCGTCACAGATTAATACGTGCGCTGTCAAATTGTGTTCTCATGAAGAAAATTAAAATTGCTGTCAGGAAGTGGCGAAGGATGCGCCTCTTCCGTAAGCGAGATGGTAAGTTGAAATTTTAGGTAGTGCAATAAGGACAGAATGTCTAAACCCAATTAAGGGGAAAGAGTTAAGTTGCTTGGAACAGATTGCTTGTTAGGGTTAAGGCCATCTATTGTGCGCTATTTAAGTATACAAGTTACCGCAAACTTATTACATGTGTTTAAATAGAGTAAACTTAGCGTGTTTTTCTCTTCCCGTCCTTCTTGCAAGTTAATCTTAAAAGGATATATATAGCGCGCGTTTTTTAAATCATTTAAAAAGGTATCGTTCTCTCATAAATATTTTTTAGGTAACTTGAACCGTTTTTGCAGCGTACGCCTCGAAAACCGAATTGCCTGATTTTTTCACATTTCGTGCTGTATCTTCTGTCCTATTAGACACGGGTCAATGTTTTAGCCTATAGGCTTCCTCGATAAATGCTCTTACCAACACAATAAAAACTTTTTAAATTATAACCCGTAGTTCCTAAGATTAGCGCGTCCAAACAAATAAACAAACTCTTCAGCTTTATATAGATTTAAGGTATGGTAAAATTAGATGATTTTTGCGCATTGATGAATATGTATAATGAGATAAGTATGTTCATGTGTATTATTTTTATTTTCTCTAACATGCAATGAATTATTAAAAAAGCAAAATACACTCAAAAGACGGTGAATTCAAAAAGAAGTGTAATTTCGTCAGTGTATACATTTTACTCTAGCATATAAACAACTGGACCGATTCTATAATCTTCAAGTAAGGACAGTAAGTAAGAAGACAGAGAATGTTATTTTGCAATAAGTAATGAAATGGTTTCAAACGACATACGAGCGTAAAGATTGAAACCTATATAAGCTATAGTTATTCCTACAGAGCGCGATGGTTGATCGAAAACGGATTGAAATCTGCATATTGCAAAATTGGGTATCGGTTTGGGTTGGACGTTAAAAATTTCTGAAAGCAAAAAAGCAGTTTTAAAAATATATAAAGATGAAGAGGAGTTTTGCAAAAACATTGCGTGCCCAAATAACTATTCTACGCGGACGAAGTCGCTGACACAGCTAGTTATTTTCTAATAATGCTATCAACTCATGGTAGTAAAAGCGGCCATTTTGATATACTTGGTTTTAGCAAAGTATATCAAAATGGCCGCGAATAACTACTAAAATTTTTAAGGACTCTTTTAATAATATATTTTGACCATTAACTTAAGTGAACCTGGAGCAACAGATAAAACTTTATACTAAAGTGTAAAAGCGTTTAAAACAGATATATTATGCTTTCAAGAAGGGTTCCCCGAGGGAAAACTTGTTTCTTATAACTAAAGTTATCGCCCCGAGTTGTACGTAGAGAGAAAATGGGAAAATGTCTTGTGCTTTATGGGATATTTTAAATGATGTTTTATATAAATTTATACTCTTTTTAAAATAGTAAATAAAATAATATATACATATTAACTACGACGTGGTGGAAAATTATCATGAACACTTCTTTGTGGTTTTTAAACCATCTGAAACTGCAGATGTAGGTTGTATCCTCACTTGACCTAAACGGGGAGAGAACCCACCAATATACAATTAAAAGGCTAAATCTTATGAAATAATACCAATGAACAAATCATTAAATTAAATAGTCCTTCCCATTAAATTAAATAAGAATGTCTACTATGGTAACTTTACCCAGGAAGTAACTAGTATATATGTAAATAAAACAATTAAACGGTTACAAATATCTACTATATTTGAACTTATTTAAAATTTATTTTAACTAGGTACGGTGCGACTTTTTCGCATGCTTTGCAGCAGCTAGGACTAAAGATGGAGGGTGCCTCCAATGCCAAAGTAAAAACTGTTACGCTAGCGCCATCTGTTCCGTCGTAGTTGGTATGACAAACTGGCCCGGTCCTTGCATAATTGACTGAGGACAATTGAAGGCATCCTCCCTATTAAAATTAAGGAGGGTAGTAAAAAAAATCATCAAGATTCACTACTATATTTCGCGTAAAATGCGTTATATTTTTTTTAATTTATACTACTCGCGTCAACTTCAGACAGTATTTAGTATAAGTGTTTAACATATACTTATTGTCTTCAGATCAATCTCTCTCCCGACAAGAGTCAGGTGACCCCGTGGCTTCGACGTCTGCAACACCTCTGCATTCAGCACGACCGCCTGTAGAATTACTACATCTGGTATGATTTTATAAATTTTATTAAGGTATATATAAAGAACATTTGAGGGGTAGTAATATAACCTATATATTCCTATCTATCCATTTTATAAACTATTATACTAAAAAATTTAATCGGAGATAGCAGTACCTACCAAAGTTTACTCAATATGTAAAATGGCGGTCAAGTGTTACACGTTTCGGTGTCAGTCTGTGGCTTTCCTAATTTCTGAAGCCAAAATATGTCAACAACACATTATAATGGACACTGGCTATGCCATTTTAGTTTTCCATCATGTGCTAAAAGTTTTCTACGTTTCTCTTATAGTTAATAAAGCGAACTATTTTATATACATAGAAATAAATACGCCTATTCAAAAAATGGACAATAAACTATCAGGCGTCACTTTTTTTTAATAAATATGCAGGGAGTATTTAATTTTATCGTATTGATTATTGCTGTAATTGAAAATTAATTGCTAACATATAATACGTTTAAAACTCGCTATAATTGGCTTGACTAGTAAGCCGTTTTATCAGTATTAAGAAGTATTCAAATACATATTTTACAGGTCACAATCAACTTAGGTTACACAATTAACTAATGACATGGAAAACATATTTTCTTAACACGGAAAATTACATTTACTTTTGTTATTTACCTTCGTAAGAATGTCAAAACTTTTTTAAACGTATTTTTTTTAATCATGAGAATTCTGTATTTTGAAGTCATTTTATTAATCAATTAATAAGTTTGCTTGTTTTGTAATAAGTAACACTATAATTAACGAGTGTAGACTTGTATAGGGTCGCTTATTGGATTTCAACTTCAAATTAACAACCTAGATATGATAATACTGTCAAATCCATAAGTAACATTTCTCTCTGTATAATAATAATATGTCTTATTCTACTTTGCTCTCAAACCAAACACAAAGCTTATATTATAATAAATGATTTTCTTATAGGAACCCGACGAAGGCCAGCGTTTCAGAGAGCAACAATTACGTCAATATTCATTTTTTCAACTACGCATACACTTAAAACGGGGACAGAATCTAGTTGCTATGGATAAGAACGGTTGGTATTACGGCTTGATTGCCACTTCACGGGACGAACCACAGATAATGCTATCACTCCGCAAATGACATCTGTCAAACCACGAATAGCGCCAGCTCACGTTTGCTTATCTATACTTATTGTCTATGGATCACTGAAACTACAAAAATATTTAAATTTTTTATCTGTTACAAAACTCTGAACTGGTTTTGTTATTGACATTGAAAAGACTATAATATAGTATAAGTCACCATTCCGAAAAAAAAAATATTATCGCAAAGAAATATTTTTTATACTGTACACAAAAAATACATATTTAATATATAAGTATCTAAATGTTATAGATTATATTTTAGTTTAAATAATTTATTTTTATTTAGCACGTATTTTAATTGCAAGTTTTAGCGCTTTTGCTTTTTATTCACTTTCATTTGCACAATTATCACGTAAGCAAGACACTCGCAAATACTATACTATAATAGTACCTTAGTACATAAGTTTTTTTCATATAACATTAAAATGTAATAACGCGGTACTTAAACAGATTATATTTAAGCCTGGCCATGTTTTATAATAGGTATTTTGACCTCTCCAAATTATGCAGTCATTACTAATTGACTTTTACAATATATATGAGTTTACTACAATATAAGACGTAATATTTCTCACTGAAATATCTCAAACGAATAGATATGTATCATATTGACTAAGTCTTAATTGGTTTGAAATTGTGCTTCTTAAAAAAGTTATTTAAAACTATTTATTTGATAATCTTTATCGGCATAAGAGCATTATGTTATTTCAGGACTGAAATAAAGAACTTGTGAACGTACAAAATTACTTCTAAGACAATAAGATAATAATCCAAGGCCAATGAACGAGTCATAGATCACTGAGCTTCTGGGCAAATGTTCGTTAAAAATACCTTATAGTAATTAAATTGAACATTTTAACGGTTTAAAACGTGAATATATTAGTTACCTTCTTAACTACGGCCTGACGTTTTGGGTTCTGCCAAGCCCCAAATAAACCGACTAAATTTTGCGTTTTTAAGGGTTTTAAAAGATTTTTTTTTTTTTTTGAAATACTTGCGTACATGGCAGAAATTTTAAAGACAATCACACTGAAACACAGCTACCCCCCCTCCAATCATGGCAAACTTTATTGATTTCAATTAAACTTAATTAACATCAACGAAAAATGCTTAAAGAAAATTTAAATCTACCGAGCTACATAAAATGGAATCACTTATAAAATTTTCTAAACTTCCTTTGTTTCTTGGTTTCATTAGATCGCAAATAGTAGGATTAGTAGAATTAAAATTCTTAAGGAATATTGGACTCTTGTGCATTTAATTGTACTGTAAAAAATAAAAGAAAACTACTAATATTGCTGGTGTTAATCTTTAAAAAGTTAACACATGCACCTCCGTGGTTTAAATCTAAAGAGTTTGTTTATAATTGTATGATATAATGATTACCTCTTTAAATGATATAAAAATGCCTGCAACAATATATATCCTATACTTTTTACCATTAACTTGCAAGAACGACGGAATTCGACCGACGCGGGTAACTGACTATAATATATAAAGTTAAGGAAGAGGTTTATAAACACTAATTTTGAAGCCCAAAATAACAATTTTTCGCGAATAACACAGCCAGTGTTAAAAAAAAGCCAGAGGTTCTAGGTTCGTGGTGTTTATGGTCTTTGAAAGGTCGTTAATAGGCATGACCAGGTGGTTACAAGAATCATCCATTCCCCATCCTAGCATTGTTATATTGATTTTCGCTTCTTTTCTAACGAACGCTTGTGGGTGTCGAAAACCAGGTTTGTTGTCAGGCACGAGCGACCCCTACGTGAAGTTCAAAGTTGGTGGACGGTTGCTGCACAAGTCCCGGATCGTGTACCGGGATCTGAACCCCGTGTGGGACGAATGTTTCACTGTTCCCATTGAAGATCCCTTCCAGCCAGTGCAGCTTAAGGTACCAAGGTTTTTAAGCAACCCTACAGTCTTGTAATCAGGCTTTCGCAAGCAATTTACTAAGCTACTCTAGTTTTCGAGTTCGTAATTTAAATAAGTAACATGGCGGCCATACTTACGAATTTATGAGCCCCGTATAGGTTTAAATTTTAAAAGCTTTATTCTAATATAGGTTAAAGACAAATCTTAAACTTACATAAACAGGTACGTATTTATGTAAGTTTAAGATATAAAACGAGTGGATTAATAACTAAATCTGTTTAATTTTTTCTATATTTACATTACATATTTGACATTTGCATAGAAACTTGAACCCTAAAATGTAGTATACATTACAATTAAACACATAATATTATATACAATATTTTTACCATCATTTAAAAGTCATCGCAATCAGAATACTGTAACGGTAAACTATTAAATACCTGTACTCCTTTATAAAGTAACGTTTCTTTGCCGTAATTTGTTTGGCTGAATTAATTCAAACTGTTCTTGTTATTTCTTAACTTTAGAGTTGTTTAAATCTTAACTTTACCTAGTTAACTAATATATGTATCGCGTTTTAACTCGCGTAAAATAAAGACAGTAATGTATTTTGATACAATATTTCGAATTGAAGTGCATACAGAAAAGCATAATGTGACGTTAAACGGTACACAGTAGTTACTAATATCGTCGGGACTTGGTAATTTTATATAGATATTAAATTGGTTTTATATGGAAATGTCATAAGTCAGCGCCCATTTCGGCGTAAGAAAAGTGGGTCGATATCTTTCTACTTGAATACGCAATATAAATTCATGAGTTCGTGGCAAAATGTCTGTGATCTTTGAAGTTTTAATGACGTCATGAAATCGCTGAGTAAAGCCGTTGGAGGGGTGGGGGGAAAACTTTCAACTGTAACATTAGAATTGTTGTTTTCCTTATATAGTTTAGAATTTAACTAAAGCGCTTTATGTTTCACTGAAGTAAGTTAATTGATAGTTTCTAATCAAAAGTGATAGGGTACTTTTAAAGGACTTCTTATATTTAACAATTATTTCAAGGGCTTCGTCGCTTTATTAGTTAATAGCTAATATCCATCGTGAGTTAGATTTGAGAATAATTTAAAGAATTAGGAATCTCACAATTGTAAACTCCTAATTGGTTTAATGTTCTTAATGTGTAAAGTATCTGTAGATTCCCGATGGTTCAAAGTCAAAATAGGGCAATAGCGCATCTTAATTTGATTTTATATGGATGTGGCATTTTACCTCAACTGAACCATTCAGTTGATGACTGTTTGGCCTCCTCTCTTTTAAGAAAACAAACTTAAAGAACTTTTGGACTTCATATTTCTCTTCCAAGTAATTTTAAGCGGCAAACTAACGGGACAAAATTTATGTTACTTTACTGAATTAGAAGTCATTTTTTAATTTACCGCGTTACAAGGGCCGCGTTATATTAGTCGGTATTAAGAATCCATTTCTCATCAGGTATTCGACTATGATTGGGGCTTACAAGATGATTTCATGGGCTCCTGTTATCTGGACCTCACTGCCCTTGAACTCGGCAGGTCCCAAGACCTGGTGCTTTGCTTGCGCGACCCAGCTAAGCTGAATCAGGATATGGGCGAGATCGTCATGAATGTCACCTTGTATCCAAAATCTCAGGAAGATAAAGAACAGGTAATTCCCTATTATTACCAAAACGTAGCAATGTAAATCTAATGATCAACGGGTGGGGGTTCGAGCCCCACCAGGTCTCACATCCTTCTTAACAATTTATAGCTCTTCCGAAACATGTTGGACATCGTCTGGACCTCTGGATGTTAAATGCGTGGTAGGAATATCAAAATTCCGTCTGAGCAACGGACCACCGTCCACATATGAAAGAGCTGTCAATCAAGTCGCGTCCGTTTCAGTCTGTTGGTTTCCGAATATAGCTAAAATAGATCGACAGCGCGTCTTGATTAGATGTTATATAGCTAGGGTATTTCATCGACCATTAAGTGAATCTCATACTGTCTTCCACTATTTTAAAAAATGTGTTGCTAAGCAACCCTTCAAGGTTCCGTTGTCGTAAGATAAAGACCAAGCAAACGAGAAATATTTAAAAAAAATAATAAAATTACGTGTTTTATCATTGCTTTGATATGACGACATGTGCCTTAAAATTTTCATTTTTCTTCACATACATTGAGTCTCAATTTATAGCAATAATGATTTTTGGAATTGATTGGGTGAAAATGTAATTCAACTATTTGTAGGTATATAGATGATATTTAGTTCCCGCTCTAACACGGCCATAGGCAATGAACCGGTCAAGGCAGTCGCCAGAAGGGTTAAGGAACCCTAAAAATAAAGAATTAATTATTTTTAAACTGCAAAATATTGATATTACAATAGAATTTTCACATTACAATAGAATTTTGGCGAACCGCGTAACAAAGCAATTTACCAATCTAATTGATTGTGCATTCCAATTTCAAATCAGTCGCGCAATAACCGTCCGCGCATTCGGACGCCCGCGCACATATTTCGCGAAGAACCTAACCTAAATTCGTAAAAAAACATAAGTAAACAAACACAGTGAGTGATAAAACGCATGTGCTATTGTTACTTCGGTTTATTTTCGTTAAAATCTGGTGTTTCGGGATTACGTTCGGCAAATGCTGCCAAGTGCCGAAGTGTAGTTGTGTACTTTTTTCTTATACAAAGATTTATAACCCGGCTGGTTGCATGACGCTATGACCTAAGCCTTAAACGATCTTAAACTTTTGAATACTTTTAGATCAACAATCTGAGATAAAAATACGTTGTTATAGAAACATTCATACTTAAGTATTGTCCGTAGTTTACAGGTCTAGTAAACATTTTTAAACCGATTTTAACGGTTTAAGACTCAGCAGCAGGCGTGGGTGGGGCTGATGCAAAGCGAATACTGCTACAAAGTTACTTACATATATTTCGCGATGTAAACCGTTTAAAGATTATTATTTAAGTGTACTCGCGTAAATACATTGATACAATAGGTACTTACCGTGGTTAAAATAATTGAAAAACATATTTCGCATTAGAAACTGTTAAAAGTAATTCTTATAAGAAGTAAGACTGTTAAAAGATTTTCTTGGTACCGACTTTAAAACTATAGGTATTATAATAATATTTATTTAATAATTTTAATTCAACTAAATTAAAATATGTATTAGACACTTGGTTCAAAGTATTTTTTTTTCTTTTCAGTTTACTGTTTTAAATAATGCTTAAACATTAGTGTAATTATGCGGATAATGGCCTATTGAAATCTAAAATTAACTAGTCTGTTAGGTAACTTAGTATATTATAAATATCGTGATGCTAGTAACTTTAAAACTTTTCAAGTTTTTTTTCTATGCGCGTATTTGATATTCACTATTAAAACATACAGCTGTAGATAGAGAACAATTGTTTAACAATACTACAATTTTGACTAGTATGAAGATAAAATATGGAATCCATATCAATTCAATACTGTCTGTAGTTGACGCGTGTAGTACACATTTAAATAAAACACTTGAACGGTTTAAAACGCGATATATATTAGTTAGACTTATTTGACAATTATTTTTTACTAGGGCCCGACGTTACTAAAAAAGCATTACTAAAAATTCGTGTTTCTACTGTTTAAGCCCGAGCATTAATTGATACCTAATTTATTTAAAAGTACGCTAATACGACTAGCACGTGAAAAACATTAACGTTATTATACCTACCCAGTTCTTTGTTTACGGAAAAGCTCCTTACACTTGCAATTAACACTTTATATGAATCGACCGTACCAATAAAGTAGTATTCTACTTAATCAATAACACATTAGAAACATTTCGTCTAAAATAAAACTTTTGTGACGGTTTAAAACGAGAAATATATTATTCTAGTTATTTTGGGCATCCAAATTCGTTTTTGCAACATCTTTATAAACTTAATAACGTAATAGCTTATTACCCACGACGTCGGCCGCGTCCCTTCCCGTGGTTCTTGCAAGGTAATATTAAAAGATAGGCAAATGGCGTCGCGGGCTTTTTTATATAAATTAAAGGGAAATAATTTGAAGAATAATATTTTTTTTCACATTCGTCGCTGTATCTTCGCTTGTATTAGTCACGTGGTGTAGCCTATAGCCTTCATCAATAGGTTCCAACACACAAATAATTTTTCAATTCGAACCCGTAGTTTTTGAGCGCGTTCAAACAAACAGACAAACTCTTCAGTTTTATATATGAGTATAGATAAATTATATATTCAGTTATATCAAGTAGACATTGTTGATTTGTACAAAACAGTTATAGCTCTATAGGCCGCGTCAAACTACTAAATTAAATAAGATATATTTTATACGTTTGTGTTCTCACAAATTATTGTTTCAATAAAAAACTTTTACTTGTTCAAAACGAGAATAGTCACTAACTCACTACCCGCTCGCAGCCGAAACCACAAAATATAGATAAAACGACACCTAAAATCTCACCTTTCCTGGTAGTCCCATATCTAGGTCGAATTGATTTTTCATTATACTAACGAAGCCGCACAAATGTAGGACACGCGAAATTAAATTCACTATTTAATTGTTCTATTTCGTTCACCCGTGGGATCGAATTCGGCTCTTTTCAAACTACGCTATATATACTAGTGTCTGTAGTTTACACGAGTAGTACAAATTTAAATAAAACACGTCAACTGTTTAAATGTGATATATAAATTAAACTTATTTGAAAGTTAATTTAACTACGACCCGATGTTTTGAATGCTTTGCAGCAGCCGTGGTCACGGAGAGACTAAAGGTAGAAAGAGGGAGGCCGCAGTTAAAATAATTTCCAAATGAGTTTAACGAGAATATGTCGCGTTTTAAGCCGTTGTAGCGTTTAACTTAAATAGCGATAATTACTTACTGGGAGAAAAATTATCGCTTATTATTATGGACTTGACGAATTATTATCAAAAACAAAATTTTGACAGAACAGATGGCGCTGGCATAGCAGTTTTTTACTTTGACTTCAGAGACACCCTCCACTTCAGTCTCCCCGTGACCACGGCTGCTGCAAAGCATCCGCAACATTATTGGACCGTAGTTAAATTAATTTTCAAATAAGTTCAACTAATATAAATCGCGTTTTAAACCATTAAATGTGTACTACTCGCGTAAACTACAGACAGTATTTAACTATGGTATTATAATATTGGATATGTTTAAAGGAACTTATTGTTTAGGACATAATATATGAGCGTTAATTACTTTGAAATTCCCATTACATGTCGTAAAGATTAACGACCATAGCTATGCAAAAACTGTATAATTACGTGTGTCCTTGTATAGGTGTGGTTTATTTGATCCTAGATAACCGTTACATACGTAAAACATTACCCTATACTGATATTATTGACGATAAGCCGTTAAAACTTGTGGACTTCTAGTGTAAATATATTGAAGCCAGTTAAATAATGAGTTAGCTAATATTATTATGCATATATATTTTTACATAGTTCTTTGAAATATAGTAAATATAGCTATTAATAGCAAGATATTTAAACTTACATTAAGATAGGAAAATTAAAATACCTACGTATTTTTTTAAATAATTACAAATCAGTCAGTAATAAAATATGCAGTACTATTCATACATAAATTTAAAAAACTAGATATATATAATACGCAATAAACTACGCAAATAATAATATAATTTCTAACATTGCAAATCACTAATTTTGAAAGGTTAAATATTTTTTATATGTTATTGCACATGATGGCAATATATAGATTTAAACCAATTGAGCTACCGAGGCAATTAGAGGTTAGAGCAACAGCATGGAACGCTGACGATGCCGGTTCAAGTCCTGCCCGAGAAAATTATTTTGATTTTTAATAATTAATTATCATTAATTAAATTTCTACATTTTAATACTACAACAGCTACCTTCTTCTTTACTTACGTAAAACCTACAGGTAATGGTGAAATTGTTTTCTACAAAAGCACTTCATAATAACTAATCAATGTACTACAACGTACTTACCATTACGATCATGTTAGTACAGTATAGCAATTTACGATCCGTGAAAACATCTGTTTTCCTCCACAAACAACATAGTATTATTTACTTCAAACGAAATTAGAACTTCGAACCTTATATCTTTCGGCGTAAGGCGTATATTTGTAACGCAAGCCACAATTCCAATTCACCTGGCTTCCGAGATCTTTGTGAAAATTCTTTGAACACCTAGATTTCTTTACTAGGAAGAAAATGTTAACAAAATATAATCTTACCTCGATCCAATCTGAAGAAAATATTGAAGTGCTGATATAAAAGCGTTCGCTATCGGAAAGCTGAATAGAAGTTAACGAAATGTCCGAAGCGGAACATAAAATGGGTCGCTTTAAGAACAAAATACTTCGACTTCAAGAGAAACTCCAAGACCGAGTTGAAGATTTAACAGACCAAGTGCAGAATAAAATAGAAAAATCGAAATTGTCTAAATTTGTCTCGCACCTATCTGAAGATAGAAGTTCTATCGAGGATGTAGACAGAGATAGCATAGGTAAATCCTCTATCGATTCGAAATACAGTCAATCGGACAGCATTCCATCTGTGATCATAGATGAGCCCAGTGTGAACGCTGATCCTAAGGATATTTGCAAGGATTTCTTGACGGTAGAAAAACACGGATTTTTATATAGACGATGTCGTTCAGCGACAAACCTGGCTTTGGATGATTCAAGCTTTCATAGTTCTAGTGAATCTTGTTTTTCTTGTTTGTCATCTAGTGATGAACGGTGAGTTATTTTAATAAATAAATTTTATAGACGAAGGTACTTGTACATATTGGTCAATTTAAATATTCACAAAACCATAGAGATACATATAATTAGTACTACAAGAGTATCCACAAAAGATATTTTGGGGTCAATAGCATTAGCTTATCTATTATCAAGGATTATCATGGCTTATTCCTGATGTCATGGTGTAAGATCACAATTAAGACAGCCAATCATATATTTCATACTAAGTTATTTAAAATATTTTATGTTGTTGCATATTTATTTGTGGGACTTGCGTTGGTTGTTTTGTTATGTTCATTCGAATTATATTAAGAGTATGTAACCAGCCAGTTCTATAGATTTACTTTAAAGATGGAATTAAAAGTAAAAAAATACCATTGTAGAATGATAAGATAAAATACTATAAATAATAAGCTTCCCTTCTGACAAGTACAATGCGATGCGAATGTTGATGAAAATGATGAAAAGGAAATCTATATATCAAAATAAAAATATTCTCACAATTTATTTATGGTTAAAAAGAGTAAGTTATTTATTCATTTAAAATATGCAAATCTATTTTATATCGAAATAATGTGAAGGCATGGTTTTATCATGTTGGTAAACGTTAAAAATTCAATTCGTAAACAATTTGCTATATTTTCAGAACCACAGAAATTAGACCCAGAGCCGGCAGCTTACCAGGTCAAAACCTGGATATAGCTTTCGCTATCAACACCTGCACAGATATTATAGAGAAGATTGGAAATCGATTCCCTAGACTTAAGACAAGGGGCGACAGAATTCATAGGGTATTTTAATGATTTGATGGTGGTGTTTTATTGCTTTGGTTATAAACAAGACTAACAGTTTGTCTGGCTTTTGGGGTAACAAGCTGTTCGGACGTCGTAATGTTGTAATGAAGACCAACGGTCTTTGCTTAGTCGAGGAACGCTTAGGTAATGCCATCCCGTCGTCACGACAAATTGTCGAAAACCATTTAATAATTACGACCGCCGAATAGGTCGTAAAATACAGTAGGTTCATTGTAACGATAAGTTCGTTCTTCATATACTAACCTGAGTCAGTTAGTGGAAATAGTTTGCCTTACAGATATTGTGTATTGTTACTGGATTGTGTGGAAAACATTCTTGCTGGCAAAAAAATATAGCGCATCGTTTATTCGAATGTTAAAGAGGCTACGTTCATAAACTGTTAGAATACTCTCATATCGAAAATAACCAAATATATAGTATTTTTTTGGCTTTGCAATGTTTTTACCAGAACTACATTAAACTTCGCTTCTAATTTATAGACGTAATGTGTAAATAAAATCTTAATTGCTTTACTAACATTTTAACAACACAGTTGGATGTCAACGTGTGCTGCTTTCATTGTGAAACCTGAAACAAATATTTATTAATATTAATCATTTATCAATATTAATCATTTAGTTTAATCGGAAGAATTAAACTTATAAAGAAAGACAAAACTGGGTCACTAGACTTATGTAATAGGGCAATATCACTTATTTCTTGTACGTACTCTTCTGTGCACCGTAATTTAAACCTTAACACGTAGTCTTTGAGGTTTTAATTGGTCTATTGTCAGATTACTAAGAATATAAATTGCTATTATTAAGCACGTCTCGCTCACAAAGAGTGTAAGAAGTTACAATTATTAGTCTCGGAATAGACAAACATTTATTTGTAGCGCAAATTCGTAAAACTATCATTGTTTATTATATCCATATTACCTATAATTAGATATTGTGATGCTCAGATTAGTTAACCAAGTAGCGATCTATTTAGCCGTGGTCACGGGGAGATTAAGATGGAGGATGTCTCTGACGTCAAAGTAAAAAATTGTCACGCTAGCGCCATCTGTTCCGTCGAAACGTCGGGCCGAAGTTAAAAATCATTTCCAAATAAGTTTAACTAATATATCGCGTTTTAAACTGTTAAAGTGTTTTATTTAAATGTGTGCTACTCGCGTAAACTATAGACAGTATTTAATTAGCGGTCTAGTTATATTCGATTCCCGGAAAAATCTATAAAACTATTACGTTCCGTGTCCATTCATGGTATGGTACATACATTTTAAGAATGTGTATAAATCATTAATTAATTAATTAAAACTAATGTTGTCTCACCTGTATTCGAACTATTCAGGCTATTCCAACAGTAATGGCACGAAGCATCGTAATCTAATTATTTTTTTGCACTTTGTCTATGGTTTATGTTAGAAGTATGGGAGAAGCAGTTGCAGCAGCTTTGTACTAACCACTCACTCATTATTTATATATCCATCTACCTGAGTAATTGTTATAAGGCTTATTTATAAGATCTTTTGGCTGTTTCGATTCTAACGTCGTTGAGAATTTACACTCGACGTTTCTCGATTAAGCTAAGACTCAAACCACGAGGACGAAACTTCGAAGAAATCATTTCTCAATTACGTTTTTCAAATGGGTGGTTGTAGGAATATAAAAATTCTATCCGGGTCATAAACGATTGTTCACTGATGAAAAGCCGTGAAGTTTAATCACGTATTGAATACAGTCTGTGGATATTCAAACCCAAAAATAGGTTCATATTGCATTTTGTTGTTATCATCTTAAGTGAACCCCGTGCTTGTTTTTCCTCCTTTATCTTCAAGAAAAGACCAATAGTTAGAAAACCCAAGAAGTTTTTCCTTATTAATTATTATTTTATACTTTTCTTTCCAGTATTTATTAAAGAATACGCGCCTCAGCGATGTAAACAAACGCCTCAAAGCACAAATATGGAGTTCGGTGGTGACCATCGTGTTGGTGGAAGCGAAGAATTTACCCGCGATGGACTTGGACACGAGATCCAGCGATCCTTACTGCAAATTTAGGTAAGGAAATTCCACTTTATTCCGAACGGATCGAATATCCTAACGGTTCCTATTTATTTTTCTTACCTAGTAATGGGAAATTTTTATCCTCATATCTAATATTAAGAATTTCCAACCACCTCACCTCAACTACTACTAATCGAATTCAGGATAACGCATAAAGAGAACTAAACTCGTTTATATTAATTACTTGATTATTTATCTAAATAAATCATTTGTAACGGTTTAAAATGCTATCTGTATTTTAGTTTTTGCGTGACCCCGTCGAGTCGTAGTTAAAAATAAAATAACTTATATAGATCGCGTTTTAAACTGTTAAAAGTGTTTTATTTAAGTGTGTGCTCGCTTAAATTACATACAATGCTTGATTATGTAACTACATGATACAACAATGAAGTTATTAAGAAGAAATTAAATTTAATACATATATATCTAATAGAATACGTGTATCCGTTTCTTTTTTGGCCCTCCCCAAATTTTTTCCCTTTTTTTATTTTGTGGAAAAATTTCACGGCCCCCCCCCCCCCCCCGGGGGGGTTCTCCCCCCCCCCCCCCCCCCCCCCCCCCCCCCCTCCCCCCCCCCCCCCCCCCCTTTTTTTTTTTTTTTTTTTTTTTTTTTTTCCCCCCCCTCTTTTTTTTTTTTTTTTTTTTTTTTTTTTTTTTTTTTCCCCCCCCCCCCCCCCCCCCCCTTCTTTTTTTTCCCTCCCCTTTTTTTTTTTTTTTTTTTTTTTTCCCCCCCCCCCCCCCTTTTCCTCCCCCCCCCCCCCCCCTTTTTTTTTTTTTTTTTTTTTTTTTTTTTTTTTTTTTTTTTTTTTTTTTTTTTTTCCCCCCCCTTTTTTTTTTTTTTTTTTTTTTTTTTTTTTTTTTTTTTTTTTTTTCCCCCCCCCCCCCCCCCCTTTTTTTTTTTTTTTTTTTTTTTTTTTTTCTTTTTTTTTTTTTTTTTTTTTTTTTTTTTTTTTTTTTTTTTTTTTTTTTTTTTTTTTTTTTTTTTTTTTTTTTTTTTTTTTTTTTTTTTTTTTTTTTTTTTTTTTTTTTTTTTTTTTTTTATATCTATGAAAATTATTGTCGTCTTTAGGTTAGGTAATGAAAAATACAAAAGTAAGGTAGTTTGGAAGTCGTTGCACCCGTCGTGGCTGGAACAATTCGATCTACATTTATACGACGACCAGGAACAGATATTAGAAGTCACTGTTTGGGACAAGGATAAACAGACAAAGGACGACTTTTTAGGAAGGTAAGGCTTATAGAACCTATAAGAGTTATCCAAATAATTTTAAAACACAGTCTGGCAATTCAATTCAAAACTTTTTTGTACTGGCCGATCGAAATATGTTTATTTTAGACACAGAAGTCTGTTAACTTATTGCGTTTATAGTATATCGGTCGGTTAAACGGACACTCCATCCCCCTTTAGGGTAAACGGGATTTTGCTTGTATAGATATTTTAATGAAGAATTATAAAATGTAAAATAAATCTGAGTTGACTTTGATACCTATTTGTTTCTTGATGACAAATTGAAGTAGATTATGACTTTTCAGTACTGGAGAATTATCTCATGTTTTCTTTGTTTTTCAGATGCACAATAGACCTATCAAAGTTAGAACGAGAGAAAACACACAACATATGGAAAGATCTAGAAGATGGGAACGGGCAGATCTTTCTGCTCCTCACAATAAGCGGCACAACTCAGTCTGAGACGATAACGGATCTGGCTACGTACAGAGAAAACCCTAGGGACATTCTAAATGTTGAAAAGAGATATGTACGTAATTAAATTCTTTCTTAACATTCGCTTTTATGTAAGTAGCGTTCACTTAACTACATACAGTGTCTCAAATGTAATAGGCTGTTTTTATTGTCACAATAAACGCAGGCGCGTCGTTGCCGCTCGTAACTGAGACATATGAATGTCTAGGAAGCATTTTTAAGTGACCTTCCGTATCTAATAATAATAATCATAAAAGAAAAACAGATTTAAATAAAACACTTTAACAACAATTAGTTAAACTTACTTGAAATAACCAAATAACAACTGTAATGACGCAGCAGTTTTTACTTTGACGTCAGAGACATCCTCCATCTTTAATCTTCCCGTGACCACGGCTGCTGCAAAACGTCCGAAACGTCGGGCCGTAGTTAAAAATAATTTTCAAATGAGTTTAACTAAAATACATCGCGTAAACTATAACTGATTTCTTTGAATAGAACACTTAACGGTTTAAAACACGAAATGTATAACGATGACAGAGATCGCGTTAGCATAGCAATTTTTACTTTGATATTAGGAACCTCTTACTATCTATAGTCCTTTTAAATTATTTGTTTTTCCCCTCACTTCAAGTTGATTGGAAGGAATGGCTGTCTAGCGATAAGGCCGCCGATTATTTATAAGCTAGTTGATAAGTTTTTAGTCTGTCCTGTGGTGTTTATCTATACTAATATATAAAGCTGAAGAGTTTGTTTGTTGGTTTGTATGTTTGAACGCGCTAGTCTCAGGAACTACGGAATTGAGGTTAAAAATTATTTTTGTGTTGGTTAGAGCATTTATCGAGGAATGCTATAGGCTATAGGCTAACAGGCTAGGTCCTGTGACTAATACAAGCGAAGATACAGCGAGAAATGCGAAAATATTCCTTGTATTATAAATTTTCTAATGTTCTTTACTCTTTCCGTAATCTTTCAATATATTATTATCTAAAAAATGTAATTTATTTTATTCTTATAGGCGTGGTACCGTCTCAATGAACAATCAAGTGGAGTAGGATGGCTTTGCGTGAAGGTCTATGGAGCAAAGGGTTTGGCCGCAGCCGACTTAGGGGGGAAATCCGACCCCTTCTGTGTCCTGGAACTGGGCAACGCGAGGTTACAGACGCACACAGAGTATAAAACGTTAACACCGAATTGGATGAAGATTTTTACTTTGTAAGTGTGTTTTAAGTAATGGAGTGGTACTTAGCTGTTCACTAAAACGTATGGCGCGGTCTGATCCCAGGGGCCCTTTTATGTGCTAATGACGGTCAGTTGAGATTATTTCTAACCGGGATTACCTGTCTAGACTAAGCCTCACAAATAGAAGAGTAAGTAAGGGTTGAGGTCCCACACTTAGTGCGTAAAACTATTTTCTATGTTACAAAAAAATATAAATTATTTCTACACAACATACCTATTAATATTATTATTTCTAATTACCTTATGTACATACTGTCTATAGTTTACGCGGCTAGTACACATTTAAATACAACACTTTAACGGTTTAAAACGCGATATATTAGCTCTTAAAAATTATTTTCAAATAAGTTAACTAATACATATATCTCCTTTTAAACCGTTAAAGTGTTTTATTTAAAATACCTTAGTACATTATTAAATAATAATAAAAAATAGTATTAGGCTGACGTTGTCTTAAAGAAATCAGAGCATATAAACGAATTCAATAGCCTTCTCTTTTTAGCCGTGTATTAAAAACATAAAACAACGCCTAAGTGTTACCCTGTCTCTCCATTGTAGTGTATGGAAAGACACATTTGTGTATCCATTTATTTACATATAATAGTGTTACAAATGGACGAGAGGATGCGCTATGTATAAGAAGTCTTTAAAATATGCTGAAAGCTGTACCACTTCTTAGTGTACTAACCTAATCCATCTTTTCAGTACAGTCAAAGACATAAGTTCGATATTAGACATAACTGTCTACGATGAAGATCATGACCACAAAGTGGAGTTTTTGGGCAAATTAGCGTTACCCTTGCTTAATATTAGGAACGGTGAAAAGCGGTGGTTCGCTTTAAAAGACAAGAAGATGAGGGCACGCGCAAAGGGAAACTACCCGCAAATACTTTTAGAGATGTCTGTTATATGGAATCCGGTAAGCTTCATACTTAATGTTTTACAAGGCATTAATATCTTCCAACTTGTATAACCTTTTGAACCCAAGTAATAAGAATCTAAGCTTTGTAAAAGCCTTTATTTCTTCAAACTAAGACTAAGTACATCATTTAAATTAAACCTAATTTACAAAGCTGGAATTATGTACCTACAATATTCGAATATTAGGATTATTTATTATTGTTAATTTGTTATACAAATATTAAAATTAAACCAGTTTTGTAAATAAAATTGTTCTGGGTTTAGATTTTATATTTTCCTACCATTATAACGTTCACAAACATTACAATCTATGAAAAAAAAATTGAAAGTACCAAATTCCTACAAGTAGTATCAACTTGAATCATCAAACATTTTTGGTTGCAGCTCAAAGCTGCTATAAGGGTAGTAAATCCAAAAGAGCCTAAGTACATGCACCAAGAAGCCAAGTTCAAGAGGCAACTTTTCATCAGGAATGTCGTAAGATTGAAGGCAATCATAATGTGGTTTATTGAGATTGGTAAAATTTTACAGTAAGTAAATTTAAACACAATTTTAATATTACTTGCAGATTATACTAGCTAATTTTGAAAATACTCAGCTGCAAAATGCACAAATGAGATTTAAAACCTTAAACGGTTTAAAACGCGAAACATAATACTTTTTGCGTTAAACAGTAAGCGTGTTTTATTTTAAAGCCACTCAAAATTTTGTGTCTGAATTTTGAGTAGGTTCTTAGGACGTTTATTTCTTTCTCTACTGTCAAGAAAGTATTAAAAAGACTATATACGCAGCAAATAGATTAATTTAAACGTAATTAAAAACGTTAGACGACAATTTCTAATCTAAATGAATGTTAATCGTTTAACACGACACTTTAATCGTTGTGGACTGCTTCTGTTAAATGAAAATGTATATTAAATGTATTTGTGTTCTACCACCTATATTTTGCGTGTAATAAATATATGTTTTGACATTATTCAAAATTAAATCACAATTTGAAGACTGTAAAACATGAAGAGGGAATTTTTATAAGCTGTCCGTGGTTTAGTAGTAAACGATTTACTTAAAATACGTTAAGCACTGACCCTAGTTCTAATCCCTGTGCGGTAATAAATTATAGAAGCAATACTTAAGCAGACTACTTAAGTATAACAAAATACAAATTGGATACTAGGCTTTATTAGGTTCGTCAGCAAATGATTGAATAATATGTAATTACTACATTGGATTGGTGAAGCAGACACAAAAATATGTCTGGCCCATGCCCCATTAACTTATTTCTTATTGCAGGGATTGCTTTGAATGGGAATCACGGATATGTTCGTTTATCGGTCTACTAGCGTGGCTCGCCTTCTGCTACTACTACCAAATGTGGATGGTGCCTTTCTTCCTGCTGATTTTCTTCAGTAGAAACTGGCTTATATACAGACTAACAGGTGAATAAAACAAATTATGATATCGAAATAACCTATACATATATACTTTTAAAATAAATGAAACGTAAACGTTAGGTAAGTATATATACTAAAGTATATATATTTTCCTTATTTGAGCTTATATCTACCAAATATTTTTTCCTAGAACTAGTTTGGTCTTGCAGAACGTCCTATAAACGAAATATACAACAAGCTTCTTTTCGGCTCAACAAAATTGCCAATATTTTGTGACCAACTGTAACTGTGTGGATTGAAAAACTTGGTAGTTCAAATCTTAATGATAAGACAACCCGATTTAAAATATCCTTAGCTATTATAACTCCTATATTCTTATTATTTTGTAGAACAAATAAAAACCTACAAAAACCCTTGGAGGTGGTTAAAACGATTCGTTTCTTGTAGTAAGTTATTTTTTTGTTTGCATGACGCCTTTGTTGTTTACATATCTGTGGAAATGCTTAATTATCTATTTTATTTATATCGACGTCTTAGGGCTTTATTGTTTTGTTTCTGTGGACAATAGTTAATAGTAAGTGCGTAAAAGGAACATAATGCTTTATAAGCATGCGCCATTTTAACCAATGGTTTTTTATTTTTTTAAAGTGTTTTTAATAGTTTTGTATTTCCATTTTAAGGTGGCAATCCTTTATTGGCTCCTGTTGACGATGACGACCTTCTGGCCGAAGAAGACGACGAAGAGGAAGTAGATAAGGTAAGATTTTTATACAATAGTATAACTGTTTACATTAAAGTTGAAATTCAAATTAAGACGTTTAATAAACGTAACATTTAAAAAAAAATATTTAAACAAATTTAAATAACGATTATCCGATATTTAAATCCAAGTCTATTTTTGCAAACGCAATTTTAGTAATAAAATAAACAGTAGGACGTTTCAAAATAAGTTTACAATTAAGTTATACTTTTTAAATGTTTTTATTATGTTTTGTGAAATTAAAGTACATAACCATAACCTTATTAACATATTGAGAGAAAAAAAACCTTAAACCGAATAAACAACCCGACAATTCTATTTATGTGTGGATTTTATACGTTTTCTCTCAACATTTAGTAATATTATGACACGCATCAATCGCCATTATTTATTTGCAGGAAGAGAAGAAATCTCTAAAGGAGCGTCTTCAAGCGATCCAGGAAGTAACGCAAACTGTTCAGAATGCTATTGGTTACGTGGCCTCGTTAGGAGAAGCTGTAAAAAAGTGAGAACCTCTTGAATTTTTTTATATTATCTACATGATGGCACTGTATAATTCAAGAAGCGAAAATAAATCGTCAAATTTTTTTTTTCGACTCGTTCAGGACTTGAACCGGCATCGTCAACATTCCGTAAAAAAGCACTTTTTTTTTACTTTAATTTCGTTTTTCAATTATATGAATACCTCTTAATATCCATTTTATAACGGATACTTAAATAAAACGTATAGTTCCTGGTAATCCCAAGAGAGAAAGATTGGCAGCATAACCCGAAATAATTGCGGCCACTTTCAGCCTCATAACTCCAAAACTATTTACGCAAAGCTTATGAAAACTAGCCAAGTCAACTCGCCAAATAATGAGAAAAAAATATCTTTCATGTTGTTATAAATATTTTAGGACTGACCATATAACTTGGCACCAACCTAACCTAATAATGTTGAACTCGGCTCTCATTTCATACTTATGTTTTTGATAGGATTATTTACAGCCATTGCTTAAATTCTTGTATTTTTTATGATTGTGTTTTGTTTGTTCCCAGCCTAACAAATTTCACAGTACCATATCTAAGTTATATAGCAATTATAATGTTATTCGCTGCGATGTTGGTCCTTTACGTGATACCTCTAAGATATCTTCTAATGGCGTGGGGTAAGTTTTAAATTAAATATATAATAACTATTATATTTAATTACCTCAAATTTATGTTTGCGTCTATTTAGGCTTTGGAAATTTGGATAACTACAGAGTGAAACTAAAAGGCGAATTAACCCTTCATGACTTTTCTACCTATAAACATACTTTTCACCCGGTCGAAATATCGATATTTATCCACTTAATGTCCAGTTTGTTTCAATGACTTGGTCAGACAATGAACCAAAGACCCCGTTCGTTTGATAAAAGGATGTCTGCCACTAGAAGCGCTATAAGCACTTATTAATTTCAGGTATTAACAAGTTTACAAGGAAAATTTTACGGCCACACACAATCCCAAATAATGAAGTTTTAGATTTATTATCGCGAGTACCAGATGATGAAACTTTAGTAAGTATCAAACAAATAGACTTGATAAGTAAATTGTGTAAAGCTTTCACGGCCATCGTTCAGCATACATTTTGGCTGTTCAGGCCGATGTGAACCTCTTCTCGCTCACATCGGCCGAACAGCCCAAAAGACTATGATATGCAGACTTGATAAGGTTCAGAAAACACTTTAAAGTGTATTTTCCTAGAAAGCGTACTTTCTTTAATACATTTAACACAAAATAACAAATGGCCCAAAAATGACAAAGATATTTAACAATATAGAATTCTGCTAATAAGAAATGAGTTTAAACATTTGTTAAAATTTCATCTACTAAATAAGAAAACTAATTTAAAATTAAATTTAATCGTGTGTAAACTTTTATTACAGTTGGACATAAGAGAACTGAAGCCACATGCGCCAAGCGAACGAAAAGACGCAAGAAAGAAGCACAAATCTTCGTAACGTTCGCTGAAGATTCGACGACGAATCAGAGACTATATCGAATCTCTAGATTAGTTTTCAATACATCACTATCACACATTCTTATTTGGTCGGATAATTTCAATTATATTCAAGGCAAAGAATACAGTCAGGCTCGAAGGACCAAAATAACAAAAAATCGCTGTAGTTTAAATTTGGAATCTTGTTTAAGATTTGCTTGTTGCTATGAAATTTCTTGCATTAAGACTATAGTGGAAGATGTAAACATTATCCTTTTTATATGTATAATTTACACAAAGTAATATTTGTTACATTTCAAATCAAAACACTTTAAATGGTCAACAACGGACAAATATAAATGATAAACTGTATATAATCGTAATATCATAAAATTACCATATTTATCCTGTGTATTACCTGACTAGAACCTTTAGGAACATATAGTACCTGTCGAAACGTCCAGGATGGTTTCTTAGAAAGCATTTTCAACGTCAAATTGTAGACCTAAATATTGACTGATAATTTAGCGTGTTATAATTACTCTAAGAACGGTTAAAAGTTAAAACGCATCAATGTGTAAAACGTAAGTATGAATAAGGATTTAAATTAAATATTATTAAAATTCTAGGACACATTTACACAAGTTTTCCTCTAGTTCTTTGAAACATATTTTAATATCTGTTAATTGAGCTTTTTAAAATTCTATCTAAAATATAATTAACAATTTTTATACTAGCCGTTTATCTTTTGAAGATCTTAGGTTTTTAATATAAAGATTTAGTCTATATTTTCCTGAAATAAAGCAAAATATTTATTTTTAGTAATCTGTGATTTAAGCTGTATTTAGTTTTAGCTTAGCATCAACACCAAGTTTAGATGTATAGATCTTCCATAATGTTATAGTGTGATAAATAGTGTTTTTAGCGTGTATGAACTTAGATTTGCCGCTAGATTAAATGTTGGATAATATTTTTGGGGTTTTATCAAAATATGCTATTATTATATGCTAAGGTCAACTCCCAATACTAAATCGACTGTCACTGAAAACATTTTATTACTCGCGATGGCATTGTATTGATCATGTATAATTTATAAATTCAAAAATTTATTTTCAGCTAAAAAGTTGAAAAGTATTTTTAAGCACTTTAACGTTTTAAAACGCGATGTATATTAGTTAAACTTATTTAAAAATGATTTCAGCTACGGCCTCCCTCTTTCCAACTTTAGTCACCCATGCTAATGCAGCTGCGAAGCATCCCAAACGTTGTGCCGAAGTTTAATATAAAAATAATTTTCAAATAAGTTTAACTAATATACATCGCGTTTTAAACCGTTATAGTGTTTTATTTCAATGTGTACTCGCGTAAACTTCAGACAGTGCATTTTTCTTTGCCAATTTCTAACTTATAATAGTAAAAGCGTTTGCTAAATTTAATATATTTCTATGATTGAATTTAGTATGAAACCTTAAAATGTATAAACTGATATATAAAATGGTAAGGTATGTATAAAATAAAACAAATGAGCATAATTTGATAAACCACCATTATAACAGGCAATAATTTAACAGAAACATTTGTGTTTGAGCGACTATGCCAATTGCTTACGGTTTTGTTGCATTTCCTATACCTTCCAAAGATATTATATTAACATAATAGCATAAGACTGAGACCAATCTCATTGTTCGTTTAAAATATCATTTGAATTATCTCCAGAAATATACAAGGGAATATGGAAGTATCTAGGTATATGTATTTTCATCATTTTAGTTACTTAGATATCCTTAATCTTGATGTATAACATCGCAATTTAAATAAAAACCTGTAAAAGGATAATACCTTTCATAATGTTATGTGCAACGATAGAAAATTAATAATTAGGAAAAAGTTAATTGAGATATGTTCCCCTTTATTTAATAGTTGTTTAAAGCTAAACAAGAATCGTACTTTTATATTCCCTACTGGTGTCAACTGGTTCAGAAAACGTATAATTTATTTCCAAAACGCAATACTTGTCAGTAATAATGCGAATCGCTATTTTCTAGTCATTAGATATTCTTGAAGTATTTTGTACTCCCCTTTTATACGTACTTGTAAACTTTATTATTTTATCAAAGCACAATTCAATGCACTTCTTTCTTCTTAAACACACGTGCACAAAACTATTAATCTTTCATTGTAATAAGTGGAAATTGTGATAGTTAACGCAATATTTTAAGCTTAAAAATGTATTAAATAATGTAAATACTCATGCGTTATGTAATATTAGTATTGAATTCTGCTGTAACTTGAATTGGGTAAAATTATGTTCATCAACATAAGAATTTGAGAAACATTTTTGTGTCTGTATTGTCATTACATTTATTATTTCTTATCTTATCTTACTTATCTACTTTTGTGCTATTGCATTACATATAAAAATATCTTCACTTGTCTTCTTTGTCGTTACATTTTAGCAACTATCAATTTAATGATATCGATAAGTTGCGCAACTTGCATTTTATTCTCATTACTTATTACATAGAATTACCTACTTAAATTCCGCATAAAAACTAATTCATATTTAAATCTAAAGACACCGTAATATCATTAAAAGTACCTAAATATACTAATTATCGTGTAAAGAAAGTGTAATAAGATATCTATTTTAAAAAAATATGACCTTAATTATTACAAACACAAGTGATCAATGTTAACGCTTTCATATTTTAAAAATAAAACAATTTTAAAATCTACCGCGAATTTTGTTTTATTTAAAAATGTATATTTTGAATTTATCATGTTAATCGTGCCTAATTGTGTCGAAAACCTTTTTTATTAATAATTTCGTAGTTTGCAAAATATAAAGCGACAACTACGTATAATATTACTTAATTAAATTAAAATTTAATTATTTATGCTACTAATTGACAGACAAACAATTTAGATCTGTGCCATGCTCAAGTTTAAAAACGTGATGTGTCATGTCAATAGATCTGTTATCACAAAAGTCAATTGTCATGGCCTTCATGAAGCGCCCATACTTGAATTCTAATCTGTCATTTCTTGTCTTCGTTGACCGTCAATGAGTCGTGGCCGCGGAACAAACTCAAAGTGCCAAAAAGAATTCAACACACCCCAGACCGATATTTTTAACAAAAATGGGTTCTAAATTGCAAGAGTACAAAGACACATTAGAGCGTAACCTCAACGATAAAAGCAAGCCATGGACGAAGTATTTCGAACTAGCGGAGCAAAGAACAGGCGTTAACAGAGTCTACGTCTTTGTCGGTGGGTAACTTTTTTTATACGTTTATTTATATCCAGAGCATCGTTTGACGTTTGCTTTTTTGCAGGCTTGGTGGCGTTCACCGGTTTATATTTAGTGTTTGGATTCGGAGCTGAACTAATATGCAATTCGATTGGTTTCGTATACCCGGCGTATATGTCAATGAAAGCTTTGGAATCGCCGCAAAAAGATGACGACACTAAGTGGCTGACTTATTGGGTGGTGTACGCTTGCTTCTCAATAGTGGAATACTTTTCGGACTTCATCGTTGGATGGTTCCCGCTCTATTGGCTGATTAAGGTAAGCCTACCAGTATGACCTTGAAAATATAAGGTTAGCATTGACATCTTGATAAAAGTACTCCTTACTGTGATCTCACCTAGTATACATTATACTTACATTGAGTATAATAACCTATTAAAGTGATGCAAATAAAATAAAAATATACAAGAATAATTCAGTAAAAATATAAGTTACAAAATTTGCTCTAGAGCAATATAAAGATGCCAATTATTTAAAGCATTGCCATGTTCCTAGAAAGTTATTTAGTTTTCATCATTATTATCATTGAAGCTAGTAACACTATATTATGAGGGATGCTTGTATTTTATCATTGTTGCTACACTAAATGTCTTATCTTTTGAATATCTTGAATAAATCTTTGTTATCAGTAAATTCAAATGAATTGTACATAAATATTGATAAACTTGTATCAAATTAATAATAATATTGTCGAGAAGATAGTGGCCTTAAGTTGCATTAAGCACATATTGAATTGAAGTAATGATTGTTACAAATGAGAACAATTTTTACCCCTTATGACTCCTATATGTAACTGTACACAGTAGCACTCCTATACATAACTGTACACAGTAGCCAAAGTGTCTCACCCTCCATAAGATCCTATTAGCTCTTATCTTTATGTCTGTAGCTGATTAATTACAAGTGATAAGTTTATAACAGTTTCTATGAATTATAGAAATTGTCCTTCGATATTATCATATTTACATACTTGATAAACTATTCTGATACTCTAAAATGAAAAATAGGATTGTAGGGATGAAAGCATGTGTAGCATTAAATATCTTCAAATACATATTCATAGTTACTCCTTTTATAACTTAGTTATCTCTAAAACTTAACAGTAATTAAGCTATATACCTATAGATAGTCTAACTTAGCTATGTTTACAGTGAAGGAAATTTCCAGTTATAGTCGAATCAAATAACTCTTTTCTTACTCCTATAAAAGGTCATGAGGTGACAGTTTTTGATAAAATTTTATTAAATATATCATGATTAAGGTTGTTAATATCTTTTAAGTTAATATTATATAATGGGATTTTAACTGTGTTGTCATTAATGACTATCATAAGGAAAATAATCATATTTCCTACGTGATAAACGCATCTAGAATTTGTAATTTTCCTCGTGAGTTTATTAACTTCTTGTCTGAATTCATGAAGTTATATGTAATTGGCTTGATATCGGTTAAAAAAATATAATAACTTATCAATACAATTCAAGTCCTGCCCTTCTTCAATATAAATTCAATTTTTAAGTTAAGCAATGTCATTTGGTTCTTTTCTACTTGATTTAAGTCAATCCTGAATAAAATTTGTTTAGATGGAACCGTATCAAGCAACTGTATGGATTATTTAGGAGATATAATTATTTCCTTGTGTTTTAACTAATGTTAATACATTTATATTTTGTTTTTATTATTATTTTTGTCGCGTGTTCTTCACAAATTATATGAAATTGTTATGCAATTTTAAATTCTTTAACTGTTATACATTCTCATGATGAACTTGCTATTGGTTCCACATCAGTTACCAGACAGTATTAAGTAATGACAATCTTATGTAACTCAACACTTCTGTATCACGATTTCTACATATTTTGTTACAATTAAGCAAAAAACTTCTTAAAATATACTTTTATTACCTCATTTTGCCATTTGGCCTTATTCTTGAAAGATGATTTTATTCAAGACGCTTAAAAATTCTTGGCCATATTCATTATTCAGTATTTGTATAATACAAACAATGGCCTGAATATATTTAACTAAATACTGTCTGCAGTTTACTCAATAGTACACATTTAAATAAAACACTTTTTTTCTTTAACTACATCAGGCCATAGTTTAAATTATATTCAAATAAGCACAAGGTTTAAAGTGTTTTATGTTAATATTTAAGTGAAGCTGTGTGAAATGGTTTAACCATTAATAATATGTAAGTAATGTGAAAAAAGACATTCTTGATTTCAGTAATTTAGTACTACTCCATGATTAAGGATAACGAAAGAAAATGATAAAGGAAAAAGAATTAATGATATAACAGTGTTTCAACCAACCGATTCTGATATTACCTTATATGGTCTCATAAAAAACGCTGACAGCGTAACAATGCCTATTTTTCATATAAATAACTGAAAATCCGTCACAACATAAGTTGTGCACGCAACATACGCTAGCATTGTTTCCACCCGAGCCGAGGTCATTAGTGACTCATTAAGATAATTATCGTAGCCTATTTTTAAACGCCATTTCGATTCGTTATCTGTGTATTGACATAATGAAAGTGGTCGCCCTAACCTTGCGCTCGCGCCGACCTTTGTAAAAGTTGACAAACGTGAAATCTCTGCAGATAAATGAAGTAAAAAACATTGACTTGACTGACTTTTTTGGTCGGTTACAGAATAGAGGTTTAATTTCTTTAAGATAAAATGTGCTTATTTTGTTTCAAAGCCAAAATTCGTGAAAACATATTTGAGTCCTGTTGCTTATATTAAAAAAAGAAAGGTACAAATTTAAACTTCTTCTGAAATTAAAAGCTTGAATTATGTCCATAAAAACCGAAACAATTTTGATTTAATTAAATGTAGTTGATTACAAGTTATTGCGTCAGAAGTACTAAATAGAGCCCAGACTAATACTAGATAGGGAAAGAAACTTAAGGGCGAGATGAGTCGCTAATTTTTTAGCTCTATCACTTACTTCATAATCATACTAGATATGCTCGCGATTCGAAACACCAGTTCCCGGGGTTAGCGTGTTTAAACAAACTATTCAGCTAAATAATATTATCATATATAAACGAAAACTATTTATTAGTCGTTCTAACTAAAATGAGAGAGATATTTAGATTGAGATAATTAATACATTGGGACATAAAAAGGATGTCTAGTCTTATGATGATTTCCCAAATTCCAGTGCATTTTCATCATCTGGTGCTACCTGCCAACGGACTACAATGGCTCCTTGATCATCTACCATCGCATCATCCGTCCTTACTACCAGAAACACCACGCCCGCATTGACGATCTCGCCAGCTCAGGTACGTTGCTAAGGACTTCTGGGTCTTATACAAGTGATAAAGGATATACCACTGCCTGTAGTTTTCGATGCTGTTTTGTCGAGAACATCAAACGTCCCTTAAAAAACTATCTCTTTTAACCTACACTACTAGAGAGAGTTAGATATATAGCAAAATGGCCCCTTTAATATATTGACAAAAATCCAAAGCCTATATTGGTTGACAGAGTATCTTGTTGCGATGCTATATGGCTGGAGTATTTCACCTTCCATCAAGTGATTCCCATGCATCCGGTTCTCGTCTATCTTAAAAAAATAGGTAAAATTCATACTATAATGAAAGAAATAGAATTTCCTCTATATTATAATAATAGCGTTATGTTATAAAAGCCAACACTAAGACTATAAAAATGTATAAACAATAGTGTACATTTTAGTAGAAAACACTAGCAGTTATACATACAGGCAATGTATTATCAAGTTCAATAAAATCTCAAATTTATCTTAATAGTGGGTAAGTCATCGATATATAAAGTAATTAGATAAATAAGGTTTTATGTTAATAGGTTAATGGTTTGAGACAACATTACGATGACGCATAAGATAACGTCACATATAAATGTTATGCAGCGTCAGATGTTTTTCACGTTGTGAAATATCTAATCACGTGTATAGAACTGCATTTAATTTAACTAATAAATAATTAAATTTGGCATTGTCTGAATATTTGCAAGTACTATAAAAGAAGAAAGCGCTTAAACAACGGTTTAAAATATATTAATAAACTTATTTTCAACTACAGCGTTTCGGATGCTTCGTAGTAGTTGCGGGCATGGGGGACACGATTGCTGCGAATCATCCGAAAGGTCGGGTCATAGTCCAACCAATCAATTTTTTTATAAAATGTTCAGTCTGAGAAGGATTTAATCAAAATTAAATCAACAAATAGAGTCAGGGCAATAATTTTTTTCCTGAATAAGACGAACGATGTATTTTTTTTATCTTGTTATGCTAGACAAAACTTTAGGCAGTGGTATGTCTTGGATTCTGGTTAGAATGGAAATTCAGTTATTGTAGTTTCAAAGTATATCTGTGCTAGTTTAGTCTGCCATGAAAATATAGGTCAAATGGTCCACTCTTGAACCTTTTTGTTTCTAGATCCTCTAAAAAAACTTATCGAGAAAACAAATAAGCACATGGATAAAACATTAAAATCATTCAACAAAGCGCTTTCTGATCTCCACAAAGATTAAAGCGACGGTTTATAGAGGTAATTGCTTGGGAAGGAGTGCTTGGTGCTTGATGGGTTAAGAATCGAATAGGTGTGGAAGTACATACTAGTATTTCTCTCATAGCAATGGTTTATTTAACAAAAAAATCGTTAGTTGCTTGGAGAATAAATATTTCTTGGCCAGACAACCCTATAATGAAAATCAAAGGTCCCCAAATTCTCTTTAGTCAATTCTCCAGGTCTCTTTGAAAAACTAGTCTGGAAGCATATTTTATTTTATATTTTAATTTTGTTTTGTAAGTGTTATTTGTTTAGACCGCCTCTCATATACATACTTCTCATAAAAAGAAGAAAACGAGCAAAAGTCATTAAGTATAGCATCTTCACTAGATGAAAAAATAAAATACGATGATTTTCCTGTTAAACATACATTCACCTAACTTGCATCTTAGAATGAATAGCATTCATCAAAATGTCTAAATTATCGTCCATTCCAATAACGTCCGGTTCAGAGGAACCGGAAATAGGTCTAATAGCTAATTTCCGGTATTCGGCGTTACGTGTTTCCTTAAGTACTTGATACGGTTTTAGACTTTGATTAGATTGTAATACTGTCTATCAACGTTTAATATCAACCAAGAACTTAAATCAAAATATCTCAACTGTTTTCAACAAATTATGGACAATTATAGAATTGTACTTCTACGCTTATATGATTGCTAGAACTCTAGAAAGCTTCATGTGCTTTCAAATACCACTCTATACATATTTTAATAACGCTTTCGTGCTTGGGTGAAAGAGGCAAGTGTAAGATACAAATCTCATATGCACTACATTCTGCACTACCCACTTTTATTATAAAACTACCTACCGATGTCCATACATCATTGTTATGCACTTTATCGTATAACTTCTATGTATTCAAAAGTGGATAAAAGTTTTTGCTATTCTCCATTAAAATGTTGAGAGTGATTTGTATGTCTATTGATTGTATAAAATGCCTAGATGTCTTTTAGAGAGACATTAGTAATATTATAAACGTAAAATGGACACAATATACATTATTTTTTCACTGTTTCTTTAAGTTTACACACTACATTTTCAGTATAGAAAATTTAGAATTTTTAAGGGTAACACATAAAAATTATCAAACTACCTACATTATGTACGACGTTACATAATTAATTATATTTTTTTATTACAAATTCTAAAATAATACACTTTAATAAAAACCCTTGAAACTTCTTCTTTAACATTGCCGCCATTTTAATGTTACAAAATGGCTGCTTCGTTCTGTATATTTCATATTAAAATATCTCGTTCTCGTAAGATCCAGTCGATATCCAAGAGTTGGTGCAAGGTGCAAATAGGAAGATAAATACGTCAATGAAAAAATTGGGCTAGATCATTGTTTTTTGTGTATGTTCCTTTATTCTTTTTATAGAAATTCGTAGAAAGTACGATATCGGTAGAAATGTATTTATTTATCTTTATATTTCACCAGAATACCGCTCAGTTTTGTTTATTTAGGTTAGATAGCATGTTTTTATTATACCCTGTCGTAATAATAATATTTACTTGTCCTTGTACTATGTGTGTCTCCCTAAGGGCGGATCCAGGTTTTAAACTAAGTAGGTACTATACAAACAAGCAGTTGTGATAATATAAGGCCGCTAAAGGCAGAGAAGCACAACGGCAATTTTATGACTCGAGTTTTTTTTATATTTTCACACATATTTTTTGTGTGAAAATAGTTTAGTTTTCGCCTAAGTTAATTCCGCTTACTTATTTTCCTCCTTATTGAACATCACGTTTTTATTATCCCACTCTGCAGATATCACTATTCTGATTTGGAATAATACTCGGAGTACTGTCTATAGTTTACGCGAGTAACTAATATATCGCGTTTTAAACCGTTAAAGTGTTTTATTTAAATACTCGGAGTCTCACTTATTTCCGATCTCTAGCATTCTGCGCTAAAAATGTAATTTATACATTAAGCGTTGATTTGAGACACATTCTTTGTTTAGTTATGTTTCATTGCTAATAGATGGCGTCACTAATTTGACAAAATCCTGCCATGGATCCGTCCTTTAAATTCTCCCTATATCAATATCGGATAAAACCGAATATATTTATTGATTTCATTGTGATCCCTTATTATAGGTAAACAAGAATAGAGCCGTTTCTGCACTGAAGTAAGTAAACCAAATTAGCTGGATGCTTTCAGTGTGCTTCATAGACAATTAACCTATTTTCAAATGTACTAGGCTATGCTTTATACTAATTCTATTATCTATGTCTTGCCTATCAATTCTGCCCTCATTAATATTCCTGGCTGTATCTTGTAGCTAGTTGTAGTTTCTTTTAGAATAAGATAACTAAGTAGTCAAATGTTGCAAAAGCTTATTATTGTAGATGAGATTCTTTTTGAATTATCTACAGTTTGCTGCGCCAAAAGTAATTTTGGTAGCGTAGTACTAATAAGGTTTATTTATTTATTTATATTGTTATCATATCTCTTTTCATTAACTGTTGACTGCTTGTAATGCTGTATAGTCAATTATATTTCTAACTTAATAATCAAAGCTATAATTGCACGAACAAGTATTAGGTTGCCATGCCATTGCGTCATAATTAATTTCATTTTAAGTTAAACGTCGTTCCCAATTTGTATTTGAATGTATCGTTTAAAACTAATTACATATTCTAGTTTCACTATAATTTGAGATATGTTTCTTAAAATGGAGTGATATTAACTTGCACAACTTTTGGAATGCTCTACAGTTAAAACAGTGATTTTAATATTAGTATTTAAAAACACCGGCAGGTAGACACTATTTATCTTAAATAAGATTTATAACTGTCATTTCCAAATGTCACCGTAGTCGCTTATAATTTCATATATGTCATCTTTAATATACCAAAAACAACTTACAAGAAATAAATAGTACTTTTGATTTTAAGAGATTAATAATTCTTTTCTTTTTCAGCGTCACGTCTTGTAACAGATGCAATAAGGAAGAGCGACTAGATCGTTAACCCTTACTATCGAAGGAAAAGTACAAAACACCAAATACAGCACTTTACGCTTGCAACACGCTGGCACAGATAAAAAATAATTCACCTCACCGTACGTCTAAAGCAATATTTTCTATGTAATTTCAAATTTGCATTTTCTTTAAATTAAGGTTTTAATACATATGTGCGGTGACGCTAAAGTCCTATGTTTCACTACTATTTATTCGGTATAGGGTAGATTAGGAATAAACTTGAAAAATTCTTTACATCATGATGTATTTTATAAGTTTTGTATTAGCTCGACTGTCTTCTTAGTTGTAAATCTATAGTTAATTTTTCTTTGCGACGTCTTAAATCTTAGGAACGTAAGTGACTACGTCTTTTTTCTAGGTTTTTCTTTAATTTTTAAGACAATGAATTGCCCGTTTTTGTTCCTATACAGCTTAGTGACTGGGGTAACTTTGACATTTTAACTCAATTGCAGCTAAAGGTTATTTAAAATTTCATAGTTACCCATAATACAAATAGTATAAATATTGCTCAAGGAATGTTTCTTTCTACACGCTGTTAAGTTTGATCTATAAAAGACCGTGTTATTTAGTTTTTGTCGTTTTCGCACAGTAAATGCTTAAATGTCGCCATTTTTAATGGTTATATGTTTTGTGCCTTGGATGACCGGCTGATTTTTCACTTAATAAAGAGGGATTCATTGTATGTGTTGTTTTATTTGTTTTTACACAGCCGAATACTTAATGTATTTGACAACGCTCCTTTTGAGACCAACATTTTTGTAAAAGCGTAAAATTTAGCTTTGTTTAGAGCTAACTCTTGAAGGATTCTCATCACCATTGGAAAAATCATCATAGCTATACACGCCTTAACCTAGATACAATGTAAAAGATTTTTAATCATTGCTAACCATAATTGGTGTGAAGGTTAGCAATTAAGGGGGTTAATACGCCTGTTCTTTTTGTTTACAATAAGAGATTCTTTTAAATCTAACTATATTTAATCTCTATAACTCAACTACATCTTAACTAAATTACGAGGTACTCTGTGCTGTTTCTTCTTTTTCCAGTCTTTCTTTCTCTGCTCTTCTGTTTCTCCAGGCTGTCATATATGACCTTGGGTGTATTGGAAAGAAGCCTGATAAACCTATAAACAGAAATAATAATAAAGTAAGAATAACTTTTATTCATAATGTTAGATATCCGTATTTATTTTGATGCTACAGGTATACATTATAACAGTACCCATTTTTTTTTTATGCAAATAAATGGTTAGTAAAGTACAACATAGATACAATGGTGGAACACTGTTTGCAGGCAAAGAAGGGGAATTCAGCCAGATTTGATTTTTATATAACGATTAAAAATTTGGTAATTCTGCACCTATTTGTTGTAGCAAGATAATATATAGTCTATATCCATTATCAGTCAATGTACTATCTAATGATGATAGAATAGCGATCATACATGTATACATAACGCTTTAGTTAATTGTACTCACCTAGTAGCTCAGCGACTGGTGGTGTAACATGGGCACCCTGTCCCAACCAGAATTTTAATCGTTCCAAGTTAAGTGCCACCAATTTCTCATTATTCATATTTGGCATCGGATCATACGACCCAAGTTGTTCTATAACTGGTTGACTGTTTAATCTCTTGCGCTGAAATCATGACATTCATCTTCATTGACTAGGGCAGGGCTTTTTCCAAGTTTTATTAACAAGGTAATGAAAGAGGTGGAACAATTTATTGATAATAATAGGATTTAAAACTGTTAGGTTACCTGTGTTACTGATATGTGAAAAAATGGCCTGTTTGTACATCCTTGGCGTATTAAACGAATCGATTTGGCAGCTAAAGCGTAATATCTACCCGTGCCACTAGCTGGAGGTACAGGCATGATTTATTTATATTCAAACTATAAATCCCAATTAAATTATGACAACATAACCTACAATTATTATTGAGTTAATTTGTACTGTTATGTCAACTGTCATGTGTTTTTGCTCAGTGTCAGCTGTCAAGTTTAGCTTATTTTGTTTTTTTTTTTTTCTTCATTTGTGATGTTTAGCTTATTAAACTTAGTTTTATAAGGATTCGATTATACATAAATAAATCATCACTTTGGAATAATGATAAAAGATTATATCAAACCAAAAATAAGGCATACTATTTTTAAAATCATGCATATTTGAAAATTTGGATTTTCTTTGATAGATGGCAAATAAAAAATTCTCTCCACGTTAATGAGGATTGCTCAGGGTTCATCGTCCTCATATACTAATAAAGTACAAAGAAAGGAATAAAAAAATCATCAGTTATAAGATTTTGGAACCTGAAAACTCCTTTGCACCAATCAGATCGACAAATATATTGTCATTCACTTTGGGTCACTGCGTCAGTACGGAGTAAGTATGGTTTAATAAGAAGTAAGTATTATGTACATAGTATAAAGTAATCTTTGAAAACATTAATATTTTTCACATGTAATTGCACATGAAGGCACTATATATTTTAAAGATCGAAAATAAATTGAAAAAATTGTCCTGCCCGAGTCGAAAATTTTTTCAATTTATTTCCGAACTTTAAAAGTAATTAATCTATATGGCTCCAATAAAACTTTAAAATAAAAAATAACGCTTAAAAACTTTTTAATTATTTCGTACTCATCCTTTTATAAAAAAACGTTATAACGTTGATAATTCTCATTAGGGCGTTTAAAAATTAAACTCTTGTAGAGAGTGTCGTGACTCGTGACTCCTGAACCTCGTAAAAGGGCAATATTTTTCAACATCTACTCATTAGAGTGGAAATCCCCTAGTATGAAACTTAGGGCTAGCAATTTTCACATTTCAATTTTAAATTAAAAATATAAAGTAGGTAGTGGCAAAAGCACGCTTACATATGGGGCGTGTTGCCGACATATTTCTGTGTTTGACGTGATCGTGACCTAGACAGAATGATATGCACCCATTCAATATCTAGATTTCCAGACAAAGTCCAACATGCTTTAGAAAAATTATTAATTGATAAAAATTTTAGACCCGCTGGGGATCGAACTCAGGACTCGTTGCTTATTGGTCATATATTGCTATCATTAGACCAACGAGCCCGTCCAATTTATATGCTTGAGGTTGAGGCTTTCCGTGTAGTTTTAAGAACTACAAACGATTACTTCTTATGCAGGGAGAGTAGCAGTCGAAGCGAAGTAATAGACAATTCCAAGTATCCAGATAGAGACAGTTCAGAGATACTACCCAGGGAGGATAGCCATACAGTTAATCATGTAGGTACAATTAGATAAATAGATTAACACACCCATTATGAAACAGAAATGTTCAAAACCCGATATTCAATTAATGTACAAAATAATTCTCCGAAGAGAGCTGGTAAAGATTTTCTCATTTGCTAACTGTCAAGAACTCAATTTAAGGATAACGTCTCACCTACAATGTAGTTCTACTGAATACTACTGCCGCTGTAACCAACATACCGATGACCTTAGGAAAGACAGAGAACGAAATAGATAATTCTGCACGTGCGACAGGGATGAAATATGTAAGTGGGTCAAAGAATGAGAGGAGCTATAGCCAAGTTTTGCTATGAAGCGATGCAGCGCTTGTCGAGTCGCTTCGGAAAATGGGATTCTGAAAACGGGTCTAATATTAGAATGAGTGACATATTTTAAATTGAAGGATTTGCAAGGATTACAACAGCGCAAACAGCCTGCATTGAGGGTAGTGTTGATACTCAATTAGATATAAAAAGACACAATATGTTCCATTTTAATACGATTGAGTTTGCCTTCTTAAAATGTTGGCCTAAATCCAAGATCCCTTTTATTTACTGTTTAACATATGAATGTTTTACATACGACATTATCGACGCAACAATAAATTGTATTGTTCGATTCTTGAGACAGGACGCTAGAGCTATCGACTAGAGACACCTGCATTGACCTATACACCCCTAAGACCACTTAGAAGCATAAATTATCACACATCAATACGCATCCCGTACTCATACGTCCAATTATGGATTGCAAAGCGCTGTCAGCGCTGCGCCGCGCCGCGCATGCGCCGTCAACGTGGATCGATGAAGACGATTCCCCGCTCAGTGATCGCGCGCCCTCCGCCGAGTCCAGAGCACAATGCGTTCGAATTGAGGCGGGAAACACGTCAAACTGTATCTCCGCGAGTACGCCGGCGAAGACGAGCGGCCGCCGTGCCGTGACGAATGGCGTCGGCAGGAATGGTCGCGCGGCCGCCTCCCGCAGGTGGACCGGAGCCCCAGCCGCCGGAGCCCCTACCTCCAGCGCGATGACGAGCCCTCGCCGGCGCCGGACGAGCGCGGCCGCTCCGCCTCGGCCGGGGCGCACCACCGCGCTCGGCCGAGGCCCCTCCGCTACCAGTCCCTGGAGCGCGACTATGACCGCTCCTACGCTCCGCCCCCGCCGCCGGAGGACGACTACTACCGTCGGGAGCCACCACCGCTCTTCCTCGGCGAGCTCCAGTCGCAGAATTCGGATCTGCAACGGGAGCTGGGCAACTTGAAGAAGGAACTGGAGTTGACCAATCAGAAGCTCGGGTCCAGTATGCACAGCATCAAGACGTTCTGGAGCCCGGAGCTGAAGAAGGAGCGAGCGCTGCGGAAGGAGGAGAGCGCGAAGTACAGCCTCATTAACGACCAACTTAAATTGCTCAACCAGGAGAATCAGGTCAGTTGAACATGGAATTATCGCATCTTATCTGTTCGAATGAATCCCGTGCCCGTCTGCCCTTTTCTGTCAAGATATTACAATGCATAGTATTCGGGCAGAGTTACGCCTGCCTTTCCGCGTCGCGCTCGGTACGCATGCTTACCTCCTTCCATTGATGTCACTCAGATAGGTCAATGGGAGTACCTCTCGAGCTGGCCCAATTATATTTCAACTTTTAAACATTGCTTTATGTAATGGCTTTAGGTAAATACCTTTTTATACGTAAAATACTGAATTAACAGAACTAAGCCTTTTTAAACTTGATTACCAACACAATAGTTAAATCAGAGCGTTACTTCGAAATTAGAATATATAGTTTTTTTAGGGATCTTAAAAAAAATGAATTCGATACACGGCACTAGACTAGATACACAAATATGCGCAAAAGGAGGTAAGTATAGATATCCGAATTTAAAAATGAGGTAGGTATATATTTTAAAACTCTATAGAACCTTATGAATTTTCAGCGTTGTTACGAAATTACTAGGTGCTACGCGCTTCGTCAAACGACTTTGTCTCATCTTATTTAACCTAGTGTAAGAACGAGGGTATTGTGATTGAAAACGGGAAGTTTAACGGATTTTATAGGTCGACAACGACACGAAACGTGATATATTGATATATCCGTGTGAGTTTTTCATTTTAATTAGTGAGATTTTCATCAATAGTTAGCAAGCCGGGTTGAACGACCCGAGCTCACTGTATGCGAAACGTTTCAGTACGTTATTGAAAGAAAAACATTAATTACGGGCTCCGTACACGCTCAGTCGGATTGCTGGGAAATTGTGTTCGTGCCACCGCTCCTAATGGGAATTTCTTAACTGCGAGCTGCGCTTATGTTGTTTATCTCAAGAGATTTAAGGATCGATGAGAATTATCCAAGAGAAACGTGACAGATGCAGTGGAAAAAATATGGATTGTGCGTAGTTTACGCGACTAGTACACATAAAAAAACACTAACGGTTTAAAACGCTAAATGTATTAGTTAACTAAGCCCCCGAGACCGCGGCTGCTGCAAAGCATGCGAAACGTCGGGTCGTAGTTAATTAGTTGAAAATAAATTATAAATAAGTTTCGCGTTTTAACCCTTAAAGGTGTCTTATTTAAAGGTCAAAAACAAAGCAACTGATTTGTATTAAAATGACTAATAGGGGCATTCAATAGCTTTTCCAAAACCATGAATTAAGTGGCTATATAAAACACACATCTGATGTCATTAACGCCAAAACACACTCTTCTTAATTAATTGACAAGAATTTCAAAGTTTTAACATATTTTGTCGTCTCATAAGATCAAACACATTTCAATAATTTTTTCTAAACTGAAAACACATTCTAGTTATTTATATCATATTTCAATGTGTACGATTACTACTAAATTCCAGCCATTACTTGTTATATAGGAAAGATTTTTATTGAATCTCTTATTTTTATGTCCACTTAAAAAAAAGCATTGTTTTTTAATTAACGGTGTCCCTCTCATCCCGATATAATGAACTTATGGAGTGCAATAAAAAGTTTAATAAAACTTGGATAGTAATGGCGTAAAACAATCGTATTTCGAAATGAAACAGAAGAAGCATGTTATTTCTCTCATTAATTTTTATGTAAGCAATAATGGGAATATTCGTTAGTATAGGCGGATTCCACCTTTATACGACGTAACTGATTCTGATGAAATTTTGTTGCAATTCAAACAATACACTACTCGATTACATATTGTATATAATATGTAACGATATTAACAGACTGCCTTGGAAGATAAATTTAAAAACGCGTGTAGGATATTTATATTGTAAGATACAAAACGCGTCTAAGATATAAGGGAGGATGTATTTCACACACACACACTTCACATTTCCATATTCTTACCATCCCATTATATATCCAGATTTCCAGTTCCACATGTTTCAGAAAAATTATAAGTTGATTAGATTGTTGAACCCGGGTTCAAACCCACGGCCCGTTGATTACTAGCCAGACCTACTATTACACCCACGAACTCGCCAAGAATGAGGGAATAAGAATTTAAGTTTTAAGGTCAGCATGTGCATCAGCTGTAAGTAAAAAATAACCTTTTTATTCTTTGAGCAAATAATCTAAACTTTACAAAAATGATATGTCATAACGCATGGTTGTATATACAGCTATATATAGTAATGTTAAAATAAGACACTTAATTACATCTGCGTGGCGTGATAAACTGGGTATCGTAAAAATAAATTGCTCTTGTTATGAATAATGACCTGTTTATGGTACGCTGTGAATACTCCGTGGTTTCGGCCTATTTTCCGGCCGGGATGGCGGAAAATTAAGTGTTGCCAAATAGGGATTTTTTGGCCGATTCAAGTGGTTTGGACGTTAACGTTGCAGATTATAAAAATATAGAGGACTTAAGTTGGACTTACTTGGTGATTAAGTATATTTTTTATACTAGCTGTGCCCGCGACTTCCGCGTGGAATAGTTATTATATTAATTGTTAATGCAAACAACCTCCTCGTTTTTTTTAAAATTACCACTATGTCATCTACGTCCAATCGTTCTTGCAAGTTAATCTTACAAGATATACATATATACCGTTGAGACATTTTTTTTGATCAAAAATTATCATTCTAATGGAAACATTCTTTCATAGATATTTTTTGGGTATGTCAAACCTGTGTTGGTAGCGGAGGCCACAGAAACCCATAAAAGATGAATATAATATTCTTCCGTTTTTTTCTTTCCCCATTTTGGCCGAACCTAATGTATATTTACCTCAGCCTTTTAAATAAAACACTTTAACGTTTAAAACACGAAATATATTAGTTATACTTATTTGAAAATTATTTTAATTACGGCCCGATGTTTCGGATGCCTTGGTCACGGGTAGACTGTCCTAAAGCCTTCCTCAATAAATGCTTTAACATAACATAAATATATTTTCGATTCGAACCAGTAGCTCATGAGATTAACGCGTTCGAATAAACAAACTCTACAGCTTTATAATTTTAGTATAGATTATACCTATAGATCTCTTTAAGAAGATCTCATTGTAAATCTTAGGCAAGCTATGTACTGTAAGATTGCTAAAAATATAGGTTACGAAGTCTAGACTTACAGCCTTTAAACGAACACATTTGTCCTATTTTGGAACATTGCCAGAAGGAACTAGGTCCTGCTAAAATGTTGGAATAATTCCTGCCAAACGTTCTTGAAGACGAGCATGCGCAATTAATTATTAACCTCACAGTTCCAACTTCGCTAAAGACGAAGCGAGCAAGAATAACTAATATCGAACATATAATGAGCTAGCTAGATATATGTCATCATCGTGTCAGTAGTTTATGCGTATAATACACATTTAAATAAAACACTTTAACGGTTTAAAACGCGATACATATATTAGTTAAACTTGTTTGAAAATTAATTAACTATGGACCGATGTTTCGGATGCTTTCCAGCAGCCGTGGTCACGGGGAGATTAAAGATGAAGGGTGCCTCTGACGTCCAAGTAAAAGACTGCTACTCTAGCGTCATCTATTTCGTCGAATAAGATTTTCGCCAAATACCAACTTCGATGGATAGATCGCGTTTAAACCGTTAAAGTGTTTTATTAAAACCATCGTCGTGCACATTTTTTTGTATACTTTTTTGCTTTTTAAACCGTTGTAATTGTTTTATTTTAATGTGTAAGTGCACATTAAAAATAAAACGTACAATATTATTGTAAAATCAAAAATATTTATTTTTATATTACATACAACCTTTTTTTATTTTTTTAATGTTCACTAGAAACATTAAAATATATTTTCCATATTTGACTAGATCTCAACATATAATCATTTCATTTTCATGTAAGAAACAAGGAACATAGTAAATGTTTTTTTTTTTATATATTTAATAATAGTAAATTTACAGCATTTCCTTAAAGTACATTAGCAGAGTGCTACAAATAACAGATAGATATGTTAGAACGACAGATTGAAATAAAACTATTTAATCGGATTGGTCTGCTATTACACACTTGACGTATGACGTGCGACCGTTCACCTCGCTCAATGGTAAACCAAGTGTGTGACGTCATCGTGATTTATAATGTATAAAAAAAGTAACGCTATCTATAAAACAGGGCACAAATTCTCTCACGAAAATATAAGTATAAGTACAAGAGCAAGAGTGTCTAATTCATATAAAATTATAACTTCATTTGAGAATAGCACACAAAGTTGAACAAATAAAAAATATATAATATTAATTTATAATATATGTACCTTATGTACAAATTTAAATCTCTAAAAAATAATTTAATAAACTTATAACCGGACGTCTCTGCGTACTTAAATCACTCCTATTCCGTTAGATTGGAGTACCAAAACGGGATCTAAAAAATCCTTTCCTGAAAATTCCACTATTCCAACTTAACACAAAATCAAATAAAATACAAATATATTAGTTGATAAAACAAGTAAAACCTTAGTTGTTAATCTTAAATAATATAAGTTGTCTATCAGTGTGTTAGGTAATACCATATCGCTATTTTAACGTAATCCTACGCATACAATAATGCAACGAAATCGCGTGTAAAATCTATAAAACCTTTTATTGCATTGTAAGATTAATTCGAAGGGCGAATTATATTCTTATCTCCCGTTCAGCGCACTGCGGAGCCAAGCTATTTTACATATATATTTTTGAAGTAATATGGTACATGCGATGTCTAGAAGGAAAGAAATAGGACAGTCACGTCTAAGATAACGAATATTTGCTGAAATTCGCGTTCCCAGTGGCTTCGGAATAAATTGTAGGAGTATGTATTATTTATATACGAATCTGCGTCATATAAACGATTTTTATCGTATGCTTACTTGCGTAAAAACAAGCTTATCGCGTTTAAAATTAATAAATGTAAAAATATGTATATAGTCTGTGTGTGTGTTGTAGAATACAGGTTTTAAAACATTCTCAGATATATGTGA